CCTGGCCCCTCAGAATTAATCTTCATTAACAAAGGCTCTATTGTCCAAGGATTGGTATTGTTTGTGGTAATTGTTCTGAGAGTCTAATACTGGTATATACATATTTTTTTTATTTTGAAAACAGAAAGAAAGAAGAGTAAGATTTTTAGGCGAAGATATTCTTATGTTATTTTGAATCCTCTAGATAGAGAAATGCAATATTAAATGAAAATTATATGTTATATTCCTTGATGTGAGAAAGAAAGATATACATTACCTCTTCAGTTTTTGACTTTTATCTTTATATTTCCTTGTGATAATACACGGAAAAAATTTCGAGACGTCGGACGTGCCGATGTCAATGTAAACCTACTGTACATTTCATTATGTACTCAGAGTTAATCTTCATTAACAAAGGTTCTATTGGCCAAGGGTTGGTACATCTTTATTTTTCTATATAATAAATGTGAAAAAAGAAATTATTACCTGGGTCCTCAGAGTTAATCCCAATTAACAAAGGTTCTATTGTCCAATGGTTGGTTTTTTTGTGGTATTTGTTCCGGGGTTTTAATACAGGTATAAATACGTATATATGTTATTTGTAATGAACTACTGATTACTCATATAAGAGTGTCCTTTTTGCACTTATTGGCTGATCAGTAGTTACTGATTCATAGTTACTCATAGTTCTCTCATTCTTTTGGATATTTGGTAGTTTTATTGGATAAAAGGCAAAATTGGTTATATTGGATTAAAGTAAACATTGGTTATATTGGATTAAAGGAAAAATTGGTTATATTTAGTAAAAGGTAAAATTAATTATATTGAATTAAAGGAAAAATTGCTTATTTTTAATAAAAGGTAAAATTGGTTGTATTGAATTAAAGACAAAATTGGTTATATTTAATAAAAGGATAAATTGGTTATATTAGAGAGAGTGAGCAAAAGGGTTAAAGATATTTAGATTTTCATCAATCAAAAATAAAATTAAACGAAGTATACTATGGCCAACATAAAAGAGTATGTTATTTTAAGTGATAAAGATTTAAAAATTATTGAAAATAGAAATAAATTGTTAAATTACATGCATATGTACAAATTTGAAGAATTATTGAGAAAAGATTCCAATTCATTTTTCAATGTGCAAAGTACTTTGTATGTACAAATGCTTGATTTTATTGTCCCAATTAGAGAAGGTGATAAACATATTAAAATAGTTTTTAGCGGTAATAACAATTATGGTCACTGAATTTATGTTTATTACGATAGAGTAAGGCTTTATATTTTTGATAGCCTTAATGAGGGGTGTTTAAATGTGCTTCAAATAAAATGTTTAATTAGATTGTTCCCTTTTAAACCAACAGTAGTTTTTGAAGCTGTTAATCAACAACTTTTTGGTAGTGTTTAGTGTGGAGTATATGCAATAGCATTTGCAACATCTGTATTATTTAACGTAATGCCAAACCGTGTAAATTATGAAACTGATAATAACAAAATGAGAAACCATTTTAAGTCAATGTTTGAAAATAATCGCTTAAATCATTTTCTGGCAGTAAGAACGTCTCACAATAGGAATTCGATAATAGAGAATAATTAGAACCGTCTTTTCATAAATTGAACTTAGGAACAGAAAAATTATATTTTAAACTCTTGTTCTGTTTTTAATACTTTGCACAGTAATAATATTACCAGAGTTCTATTAACACAATATTTAAAAATTAAACATTCTCTAAATGACACTAGTGAAAAGAAAATAATTCGTACAACTGATAATAATGTGAACAAAATTTCACCACATGAATATTTAAAAATGAAGAATTTTCTGAGTAAAGAAAATGATAAAAAGATAATTCGAGCAATTAAAGAGAAGGGAAGAAAAAGGAAGGCAAGGCGCGAAGTTACATATGAGCAGAAAATAATAAGACAGGAGAATGAGAGATTGAGAAAACGTAATCGTAATAAAACAGAAATATAAAAGAAAGTGCGTCAAGAAAAGAATTTGGCATGTAAAAACGATAATTGGAATAAAAAAACTGCAGGAGTTGCAATAATGCCTTTTAAAGATTTCAATGAAAGTAAAGTTCCACAGAATTATTTAGGTTTAATAAATGTAGAATGTAAGTTTTGTAATGCGTTACATTTTTTGTGTGAAAGACCGTCACATAGATACATCACCGAGGAATGTCCCCGTGAAGAGGACATTATGATATCGCCTGAATGTCACAAAAATATTGCCGCTTGATATCAGCTTGACATTCGAGCAATATTCATTGCTACTTGGGTGGTAGATTCAATATAAAGAAATTTTTTTTACATTTCTAATATTAAATTTTTTTGAAAAAAATGAATAAAAAATATGGTTAATGCACACTAGCAACGTAGTCGGCCGCTTGCGGACGACAAAGTTGCTAGTTTTTAATTTATAATTACAAATAAACGGTACGGTAAATTATAAATTTCTTTGTATATTTTAGTTCCAAATTTATTCGTGAATTTAACATTAGTTTTTGAAAAAAATTTATAGAAAACTTCTGATGATATTTATGAAAATGTACTTCTCCCTCATACATTAGTCCCGTCTCCCATGCAAAATAAGCTACTTTGATTGCTGATATCTCTGGTTTCGTACGGCGAAAATTCTTCATATTTTGCAAAATTTGTCAAGAATGATAATAAGAACACACTGAAAAAAAATAGTATTGAATTAGGAAAATTTTACTTGCTTCAAGTAAACCGTGTAATTGAATAGGGACAAGTCAATTACGGCATTGGTTCAAGTAAACGATTGTCTTGAGATAGTATATTTGGGACGAGAGCATATATTCTTGATCCAAGAAAATATGGAATTCGAGCAATATATTAATCAACCAAAGGCAGTAACGTAGACCACTATGCCATCCTGACTCAATTGATGGCTTTCAAAAACTCCTATTTAAGTTTCACATCCATTTGGAGAGAAATATTTTCTTGGATCAAGAATACGGGATTTGTATTAAGTAAAAAATTAAATCAAAGCAAATGCATAAAACTATTTGATTCAAGAAATGAAAATTCTTCAGACAATATTTTATTGTTTTGCTTAATAACCTAATATTCTTGATTGAATACTTTTTGGTACTTCGGGAAAATAAAATATTGGATTGCGATTAATAACATATTTACTTCTGCCAAATACTAAATTCTTAATTCAAGAACTATGCGTTAATCAAGTTAATTAATTAAATAAAAAATATTTGCAAGGAAACAAAAAAATGATTTCCTTCAAGATTATATCACTATTTCAACTGAAAAAATAAATTATTTCATTTAAGATAATATATTATTTCTAGAAATTGAATTAATGCTTAAAGTATATTAAACACTTGGATTGATTAATGTTTAATTTAATTTAATTCTTTGTCACTCACTACAAAAAAACTTGAAACGAAATTTATCTGCATAAAACTGAAAACGATTATAAATTATTACGCCGTGAACATGCTGCAACATGAGACACACGCAGCTGTTTGTGACTTTACGTAGCTGATGCGCGCGCAGTGAACTCTCGTAGTAAATCAGCGTGCTTAAGTTTGGAAAAAATATTTCTTTGATTGAAAGAAATTTTTCTTTAGATTAAACATGTCAGTTAAAAAAATTTCTTTAGTTCAAAACGTTCCAAAATCATTTTTTCTTAAAATCAATTAAATTTTTCTATTAAATAAATTTTATTTTTGACTTAATAAGTGATTTTATAAAATGATTTCTTTGTTTCATTCAAATCATTTTTATGTGTGTAGATAATCGTATTTTTCAATAATGAATATTCTTAATCAAATAGCGTTACTTTTCAGATACACAAAAAAATATTTTTCCTATTCTAATAACAATATTGTCTTTATATATGTACGTGTACTTACTGAACAATTCGAATAAATAAATTAGGGAATCAAACTTATAATATGTATACAAGTTTATATTATTGCTTCAGGAAAATTGCTTGATTGCATCACTTAATTCGACCGAGAAAATAAATTATTTCAATTAAGGGAATATAATATTTATTCAAGAAATTCAATGTTTTTGAAACATGATAATATAGAAATGCACTAAGAACAATGAAAATTCAATATAATTAACGTTTATTTCAAACAATATAATTTTTTATCAGGTTTAAACAAATATTTAATTATATTAATCTTCTTATTTTCTTGGCTCAAAACTATAAGTGTTGGATTAAGTAAAAAATGTTTTAAAGGAAACAAAAAATTGATTTGATTCAATTGTATGACTTAATTCTACTGAGAAAATTAATTATTTCAATTAAGAGAATATAATATTCTTTTAAGAAATTCCATGTTTTTGAAACACGATTATATAGAAATGCACTAAGTAGATAGAATATTTAGTTTAATTCGTGTTTATTTGAAGCAATATAACTTTTTATATAATTTAAACAAATATTTAGTTATATTAATATTCTGATTTTCTTGTCTCAAGACTATGAGTGTTGGATTAAGTAAAAACTGTTTTTAAAGTGAACAAAAAAGTGATTTGATTCAAGAAACTAAACGACTCCACGTACTTTACTTAACATAAGAACATAATATTCTTGTCTCAATACTTTTTGGGACTTCGTGCAAGTAAAATATTTTTTTTGAAAGAATAACATTATTTGCTTGTATGGAACTCACATTTTCTTATGTCAAGTACATTGCCCAATGCTAATAACTACTTGGCACAAGAAAATAAATTTCTTCCATTAAGATGATATTGGCTTGATTCAAGTAAAGTATCTCAAGTAAATGCATTTACTTGATTCAATGAACTTTTTTCAGTGCATATGGTAAAATTTTCAAAAAAATTTATAGAAAACGGTTTTACCGATGTGATACCTTAAAGTCACATTAGTGACTTGATTTTTAAAATCTACCACAATAAAATTCAAATTTCGCTTTGAATTCTTTCAGTCTTTATGAAACTACAATTCTAAATTAAAAATTTCGATTAATAAACACTTGCTTAGCTTAATCAAACTTTCAAGCTTAAGGGGGGAACACCAGTTGTAACTCAAAAAATAATGCTTTTTACAAGAATATTTTCCAAAAGAACAATGAATCTTTTTAAAGAATACTATTTATTAGTTAAAAGTACATGTAAAAAGCTGTAATTTAAAAGAAAAAAAAATTTTTTTTAACAAAAACTTTTGGAGATATGAGCCATTGAAGTGGCGCCTTAAGAAAAAAGGCGAATTGCGGTGACCAGCATTCTGCAAGTATACTTCGTCTGAAATACAAAAATGAAATTGATTTACATTTATTATAAGATTATCTAGTTCGTGATCGAAGGATTTAAAAAAAAAAAAATTTGACAAAATGGCGACCTGTCAAAGTCAAAAGTATGATTTTCGTTAAAAAAATACGGTCGATTTTCAGCTATATAATAATAAGTTTTGCATAAAAAAAATCCTTCGATCACGAACTAGACTTATATGTGTAAATGAAGCACACTAAATTTTAAATAAATCGGTTTAATGGTATTCGAGTACTCGTGGTCACCGACTTGGAAAATGTCATTTTGAGAAAAACGCATTCAAAGTTTCAACTTACTTTTTTTTTGTTCAGAAGAAATTTTGTTTCCAAGTTACAAAGAGTCATCGATTCCTGGACCATATAATAACTCTTCCGCAGTGGTTGCCGTTTCTAAATCATAGGAAAAGGCCATCTGTCGTTAGGGTCAGGTATGGCTGGCCACCTTGTATGAAGCCACAGGACGCGCCGCTGCAGTGTTCTGTATATCTCATTTATTTTTCACCGGATCAACTTTGAAATTTACAGACACATTTCTAAATATGTATACTTTAAGAAAATGCACAAAAAAATCGATTTTTCGAAAGTTACAACTGGTGTTCCCCCCTTAAATTATTGTGGATATTTAAACTTAATGAAAATCACGGCCTTTAAAAATGATATCGTAAAGGGACATTAGTGACTTTACGTTCCTTGAGGTGCAGGTTCCAATAAGAATATTCTAAATCATACCCTAGAAAAAAATTACACGTGTAGATTAGGCCACATGTAATTATAGGTGTAAATTATACTTTGATATTTTTCGAATATTTTTCAAAAAATTACACGTGTAATTATTTTAAAAATATTGGAAAAATATCAAAGTATAATTTACACGTATAATATTTTGAAAAATATTCGAAAAATATCTAAGTATAAATTACACGTGTAAAAATTTTAAAAATATTCGAAAAATATTAAAGTATAAAAATTTTATATTAATAAATTAATGAATTTAGAGGGAAATGTCTGCGCGCGCTTTACTAATTTACCGCGTTTTATGAACCATGTGCTCTGACATTCTTGAATTTAAGTCATATACTAAGTGATTTTACTACGAAGAACAGTGATTATATTTGTCGGTTCATAATATGGAAAAAATAAAATTTGCTTATGTCAGATATAAGGATGATTTTTCATTCTCTAATGTGAAAATTAATAAAATTAAAAAATTTTATCCTTTAAACATTAAGGACTTTGATATAAATTTCAATTATATAACGTCGAAAAAAAGGTCGCATCGTTGCGGCACAAATCATCATGTTGGGTGGTAAGTAATTTATTAATATTTTTATATTAATTTTATAATGTGAATTTTAATATTTTTTAAAATGTACATGATTATAATTGAAATATATAGTAATTGAGCTACCGGATCAAAGAAGGGCACATAACCCATTTGAATTACATTAGTTATGTGTCCTTCTTTGATCCGGTAGCTCAATTGTATCTTCGATTTTTTTGGAAGCGAAGGTACAAGTACCCTCTTTGGGACAATTTATAAAATTATTACTGTTATGAGACAAACTTAGATAACATTAAGTTAAGATCTATACATAAAATAGTAAAGCGAAAAATATTTTCCATGATAAAACTAGTTTATTATTAAAATTTTTTATTAATGTTTATAAATATTTACTATGATTTGAGAAACAATTATTTAAAATTGAAATATATTTTGTACTTTTTACACAAATATTTTCTATTTTGATACTTTTTCCCTAAATTGAAAAATATTGACTAAAATTTCTACTATATTTTTTAAAAAATTTAATATATAATTTAATGTAATTTGTTTTGAAAGTCACTTTAAAGACATGTTATTAGTTACTTTTAAGTTATTTGAAATATCTTAATTTAAGATGTTAATAGTATATTTGCCAAAATGCTGCATATATTTTTGATACCTATATTTTTATCTTATGAAGGCTTTTTAAGCGTGTTTATCATAAAAAAATGATTTTGAGAAAAACACATTAACAGCCACGATACCGCTTCACGTTACAATGGTTGCGCCATCCACTATAACGGATTTATCTTTAAAACTAACACTTAAATCAACTGAATATTTTGAAAAAACATTTTTGACATATTAATTAGTAAATTTATTTTAAAAAATGTTCAAAAAATATGTGTATTGTGTCAAATAAAATAAGTAATACAAAAAGGGAGGTAAAAAATATCATTTTCCAATTTAAAATTTTATTATAAAATACCAAGTAAATCATATATTTCTACAGGATAATAATAGTAAAAGATGATGTGAATACAAATCATTTGATCAATTACGTTGTGTTATTAAATGAATCCATTTCAAAACAACCAAATCAACTAACTTCAATTCTTATATTTACCTTTTCTCTAAAATATGTTATTATATTTGAAAGTTAATAGTAGCTGAAGTTCGCATTGAAGTACAGTATGTAGAATATTTTTTGTTGTTTTCATTGATTTTTCGTTACTTCAAAGTTAGCAAAATAAGAGATAAATTTCCCAAAAAAAATTTGAACAAATTTTCTTAAAAACACAAGTTTTTATTTAAAAATTTTTATCATATTGAAGAACAATTATTTATACATGCAAGATTTTTTTTTAATTATTAATTTTAATAAAATTTTTAATTAAAAAATAAATCTTAAAAATTTTAGATTTTGTAAAAATCAATGTTTTTTTTAAAAAAAAAGTAGATGCTAGGATAATTTCGCCTGGTTAAAACTGATATAGGCCTTAATTTATATTAAAAATGTTGAGTAAAGAAAAGATAGTATTTTTTAAAAAATTGATTTTCATGTTTTGTGAATCATTACCTATTTTACATAATTGTTTTTAAGTTTCAAATTTAAAACGAAATATTACAGAGAATTTAATAATCATTAACAAGAGCTAACAAAAATAATTTAATTTATTTATTCAAAGTATACGGGCAGTGCCCATTCGTACAGTGTACTATGATACGATAATCCTAATTTAAACAAAATTAATCAGCCGCGCTAACATTATTGTTCCCATCATACATAAAATTACGCAGTTCAATTATAAACTTATTTAAAGAAATACCAAAAAAGTTAACACTCATACTACACTGATTTGCCTCCTTACATAATCTGTTGATTACAGAATTGTTCAAATAGTTAGTTTTATTGAAAGGAATGTGAAACAATTGTTGATGTCTTGGAGATTTTAGGGGTATATGCAAATAAAATAGACTCAGAAATTCTGTACAATTAATTATGCCGTTAATAATTTTAAACAAGAAAAGCATATCGGCGTATAAAAATCGCTGAGATTAAAACGGAATATCAAATTTTAATCTTAAGTCTGTGTAGTCATGATTATGATAATCAATTGGTACACCAGTCTGTTTAGCCATAAAACGAAGAAATCTGTTCTGAACACGTTCGATATCAGTTAACAGGTAGCTCTGATAAGGTTTCCACAGTACAGAGACGAATTCAATTATAGGCCTAACTAGTGCGAAGTACAATTTTCTCAATACAAAAGGATTTCGAAAACATTTCGCATTTCTAATGACAAAACCCAAGGCTCGGGTAGCTTTATTAATTGTATAAGTAATATGATCTATAAAGGAAAATGAGTTGTTAATCATTACCCCAAGGTCGACAATCGTGGACACTCTCAAAAGTACCTTTTTATCAACAAAATAGTTATTATTAATGAAATTCGAAGATGTAGAAAAGGATATTGTTTTACATTTGTTGATATTTAAAAATAGTTTATTCTTTTCAGACCAAGATAAAAGCTGATTGAGATCATATTGCAATTGCATATAATCACATTCATTAGAGATTGCTATAAATAATTTCAAGTCGTCAGCAAATAGTGAAAATTTACAAAATTTAAAAATGAAGTTTATGTCGTTGATGAAAAGCACAAAGAACAGAGGTCCAAGATTTGATCCCTGGGGGACTCCAGAAGTGGCGGAAAATATATTAGAATAATCATATTTAATTCGAACTGACAAGGTTCTGTCTTTAAGATAACTTTCAATCCAAGTGATTAAATTAGGAGAAAAACCCAGAGCTTCAAGCTTTGCCAAGAGAATGCCGTGATCCACCTTATCAAAAGCTTTGGCAAAATCAGTATAGACCACGTCAACCTGCAAACCATCTTCAAAATTATTAAGCACAAAATCAGAATAAATACTTAAGTTTGTCAGAACCGATTTGCCTCTCACGAAACCATGCTGACTCTCAATAATCAACGAATCTACTTGTCTATATACATCGTCATGAATTATGCTTTCAAATATTTTCGCGATAGTGCTTAAAATAGTTATTGGTCGATAATTAATAACATCATTCTTGTTTCCGTCCTTATATATGGGAACAACAATTCCACGTTTCCATACAAATGGAAAAATTCCACAGGCTAATGACCAATTGAACAGAATATAAAGAGGCTCGACGAAAGAGGAACAGCAAGATTTCAAGAGAGAAGGCGGAATCTCATCTGGTCCAGCCCCCTTATTAACATCCAACATTTTAAGTTTTGACAAAATTGTTTCTCTCGATATATGACCAACAGTAATTGAATTATTTTTATTAATAACAAAGGCATTAGCTGAAATATTAGTAGAAGGTAGAGTGTAAACGGAACTAAAATAATTTTTAAAACAATTAGCAATATCTACATTGGTGCCTGCAACAAATTGATCATATATCATTTCATTAGGAATTCTAGAGGTTCCACGCAAAGTATTAACAAAACTCCAGAAATATTTTGGATTTGAGATAACTGAATTCTCAACACGAGCCATATAACCCTTATAGCATAATTTAGATTTAATTTTACATTCTGAACGAAATTTTGAAAAAATTTAGTAGTCGTGATGAGAACCAGTTTGTTTATAATTTTGATGAGCCGCCTTCTTCAATGATACCAATCGCTTTAGTTCTTTGGTAAACCATGATGGATAAGTGGATACAGATACAGATATTTTTGTAGGTACAAATAAGTTAAAGGCAGTGTATATATAATTGTAAAAAACGGAGACTGCATCATCAACATTAAGCGTGTTTAAAACATTTGTCCAATTTACATTTAGTAAATAAATATGCAGGTTTGCCAAATCTGCTTTGCTAAAATCATATCTAGCACGTGGACTACTGGAATTATCATTCACACTATTACTATTCTCAACATTATTACTTGTGGTAAAAATCAATGGTGGGTGGTATTTATCAATTGGCAAAATTGGTTCAGTTACTAAGTCCAAAGTGAAATTAGAGGAATTGTAAAAGACAAGATCCAGAATATTGCCCGATGCATTAACAAATTTGTTAACTTGATTAATATTTAAAAAATCTAATGTTTCGGAAATACGGTTGGCAATTCTATTATAAACTTTTGATGTACGTATTTTAGAGATACATGAAGTGTATCATTAATTACATTTTACATTAATTACATTTTCAAGAAAAAAAATTTCAAATGAAAATTTTTTTTACATCGCAATAAACAATTTTATTTCCTTATTAATAAAATTATTATTTATTATTATTGGTATTATTATTTGGTTAAGGTTTTCCATTTTCCACATTGTAAGAAGAATTTTGTTCTGTACAATTGATGAAAGGATTATTTATTGATGATAAAATTCATGAAGTGGCTACCTAGTCATTATTATTTTCTACATCATTACTATTATTTCTGTTTGATTTTTTTTAGAGAGGAATTAAAAAATTTGTTACTGAACTAAAAAAATCTCCTAATAAAGGAATTGATCAACCATAAACTGAATGAGGCGGATATCCCAGTATTATAATGGAGCAAAGCGATTTTATAAAATTTATTATTGCTAATATTGCTATTATTCCCGCACTTGCTTTTCCAAATAATATAAAGGAAGACAAAAATTTGTCCCATGATGATTCAACTATTTTTTCTAATGTGTTATCATTTAATAATTTAAAAATCGTTCCAGTATTGCCTTCATGAATATGACCACCTAATTCCCTAACAATATCATTAAGTAGAGATGGTTTCTCTAAAGAAAACATGATCCTTTCACGAAGTTCATTCAAATCAATGTTATTTATTTCATAATAACTCCATGTTATATTTTGTAATTGCGCTACATTTTGCGGAGATTCAGCTTTTGAAGGTAAAGGTGAAACTTTTAACCATTGATTATTTATTAGAAATAATTGTGGAAATATATTACTACATGGAATTTCTGTCCCCATTGAAGTTAATATATGTGTACGTGGTTTCAAAAAATACGTTACATTATTTCTAGATACTGCTAATTCTTCAAAACATTTTTCAACACGTTTAACCATAACTTCTACGGGTAAACATTTTACAATATGTACTACTTCTCCCGCAGCCACAGCCATATAACCTTCACTTTCCATCAAATTATATGCAAACTCATCTGGTGCTAGAGTTGCAAATGATAGTGCATTTTTTAATGCTTGTCTCTCCATTTCACATTTGTGGTTCATAACGTCGACGTATAAAGTTTGTAATTGTTTTTTTATATGTTTTTCAACATATATAAATTTAGAATTAATATAATTAAAAAGATTTAAATTGGATGCTTTCGTTTTTTCAGGAGTGGCAAATGATGTATTTAAATCAGTTTCAAAAATCATTAATTTTGGATGTTCAGTCTTAATAAATCCACAAACGTGTTCTTTACCTTTTGATGACAAAGCAAAGGTGATATCTTCTGTCTGAAGGGAGTACACAATTTCACTATTTTCTTTTACAAAACTATCAACTATTTTATCTGCTAGTCCTTTATATAAAACAGTATATTTATTAAAGTTACAATTATCTGTAGAAATATCTATATAATCGTTTACTTGAAGTAATTGTATATACTGTTTCGTACTGCTTATTGAGGTGTTGACTATATTACAACTTTCATCGTCCAAAAGCGAAAATGTTTTAACATTCATTTCTGGAGATCCACAGTCATATCCAATGAAACCATAGGTAAAATTGATGTGAAGAAAGACAAGAATCAAAATTGTTTTCATCATGGTACTGAAAATTAAAATTTTTTTTTTAATTTCAAAATTACTTATCCTCTTTAAAAGGTTTGGTTTATATTTCATAATATGTGACGTTCCACGACAAAAAAGACCTTATCTCCCAAATATGAATTAAACTTTAAACGTGATACAAGCAAGTTTTCTCGACAAATATTTGATAGATTTAGTTTAAATTTTGTAGATAACTGAATAATAGTAAGGTAAAAGTACCCATTATGGGACAATTTATGAAATAGTAAGGTAAAAGTACCCATTATGGGACAATTTATGAAATTTCACCTATTTAGAGAATCTCTCATTATAGTTATTCTCAAGGACAATCGTTTATTTATTTTAATTATATAATATACAAATAAAGAATAATAAACAATTAAAAGTTGAAAATAATTAATTGAATCAAACATAACTTCCAAATTTTGTTTGCATACAATTTAAGCTGTACTTATTCATGCATTTTATATACATTAATACAAAAAAGGCCACTAGAGGACAGCAGCAACGGCTCATACATTTTTTGTTTTTTTTATTATAACAGTATATTAAATTCAGGGGACTTTCTGGTTTAGCGTTGACAAAAAGACACATATTAAAACTTTTGTTGTAAAAAAAAGTATGAAAAATTTTAGTGTAGAGGGATTCCACGGGTAAAAGGAACAGTTGTCGGTGACAAGTTATCGATTTGGCTCAAATTTTTTAGGCGTATTCTACCTCTAAAAATACTCAACTAGCTAAAGTTTTAAGCCCCTACTCATAAAGAACACTCACAATCGTTAATTTTGTGAAAAGTGACATCTTTCAAAATGAAGATTGAAAAATTCATTTCTGCTCGAAAAAATGTTAATTTTGGTATAAAAAAAATTGGAAAGGTACTAGTCGATGGGAAATTTTCCAAAGAATCGAATGCCGTTGGAATTTTTAAGCTATCTCTAAACGCATGCGCAGTAGATTAAAAAAAACTGTTTTTTTAAATTTATAACTCAAAAACACCTATTTCGATTTGGCTCTAATTTTCAGGAATGACAGCTGAAAAGCTATACTTTAAAATGGTTATACCTAAAATTTGCATATTTTGAGTTTTTAACCATTTTTATGCAAAATAGTTGGCTAATTCAAATTTTTTCAAAGTTTCCTTACAGTATTTGCTTTTTGTGCGCATGCGCAGTTATATAGACAAAAACTAAGCCCAAATTCAAAATCCTAGGAAAATTTCCAATCAGTTATCTATATTCACACTTAATTTTTATTTATTCTAAACAAATTTTAACAGAAAAAACAAATACAAGTTATAATACGAGCATTACAAATATGAGAGTATTTAAAAAAAATTTATTTTTTACGTTTGTTTTTTCAACTTAAAATTTTTTTCAGTTTGGTGTAACGAAATCCACGTCAATTCTACCTTTTCTTCCCCACTCACCATCCTCTGAACCATCCCTCCCACGCACCCTAAATACATCCTAAGGGACCTTACTTCTGTCAAGGCCCAGAACCACTAGTGTTAATTTTAGACTTTGTAAAGAGACACGTATCTAAATCTACGGACTTAGAACGTGGCATTATTACGCTCATTTTAATAAATAAAGAATAATACTTTGTTTACGAATAATTTATTATAATTTACTTATTTCTTGTAATTAATAAATAAATAAATAATAAATTATCTACGGATAATTTATCATCTGATAATATTTATTAATTAAATTCAAGATTATAAAAACCCGTCACAAAAATGGCGATCCTGAGCCAGGATACGTGTTGAGTTTACCTTTTTACGGAAAGTCGCTACTAACTCTACAAACCGTATCTTGATACGAACCTGCAGTTAACTTACTGTAAAATTTAAGTGAATAGTGACGGAAGTGTTTTGTTTTTGATAAAGAAAACAAAAATATATACATAAATATTCTTTTAAATTGGGGTAAAATTAGTGGCTGAATTGAAGTAGGCCCTATTCTACGTAAACCGCTAATCTAAAAGAATATTCAATAGGGCTCGTCGATCTAGACGATAAGACCTCGGGAACGCTAAGCAGTGCGGTAAAACCCAGAATAAGAAGGAAGGAAGAACACCACTGGACCATTGTCATCATCCATCAAGAAAGAGGAGGCAAGTGAAAAATAAATATACGACAAATATATATATATGGGACGTTTCACGTCAACCGGCCCAGAGCTCCATCCAAAATTCTAATCAACGAAAATCAACTTATAACGGCTCAAAATAATCGTCAGCTCATACTGCTTCGAATAAAAAGTGGCGAATTAAAAAATTCAAAATGGCGTCCTTACTGTACCATGTTTTGCAAATTTTTTTACTAACTCAGCAAACAAATGTATTAATTACCTTGAGAAAATAATTGCAACTTGTTGGATAATGGGTCACTCTTATGTTTTTGGGGTCGCTGATTACGAATCTGAAGTCAGATTTTAAAAATTTTCAAAATTCAAGATGGCTGACCCAATATGGCGGCCATTTTTATTAAAAATTGATCAGATTCGCTTGAAACTTGCTACTCGGGGGTTTTTGGGGTCGCTGATTACGAATATAAAGTCAGATTTTAAAAATTCAAAATGGCGGATCCAATATGGAGACCAAAATTTTTCAAAAATTATCAGATTTACTTGAAACTTGTTACTCGTGGGTTTTTGGGGTAGCTCATTACAAATCTAAAGTCAGATTTAAAAAAAATTTTCAAAATTCAAAATGGCGGATCCAATATGTCGACCAAATTTTTTTTAAATTAATCAGATTTGCTTGAAACTTCTTACTCGGGGGTTTTTGGAGTCGCTCATTACGAATCTAAAGTCATATTTTAAAAATGTTCAAAATTCAAAATGGTGGATCCAATATGGCGACCAAAATTGTTAAAAAATTATCAGATTTGCTTGAAACTTATTACTCGGGGATTTTTGGGGTCGATGATCACGAGTCTTACGTCAACTTTTAAAAATCAGGTCACAGATCACGATTCAGATGTAAAAGTTGTTAAAAATTAAAAATGGTTGAGCCAATATGGCGGATGAAATTGTAAAATTTGTTTGCATTTATAAACTTAAATGTAATGAGGCTGATTTTTGAGGTTAAGGTTTTTAGAGTTAAGGACAGTTTTTGAAATTCAATTTGAGAATATTTGAAAGTTTCAGTTGTGCTTAAATTGTAAACAAATGATACACATACACTCGAGCGCTTATTAAGCGAACTGTTCTGGTGCGTCGTCCGCTCAAGCGGACTACGAAAATTCCCAAAAAATAAGAAGCGAACAATAAACGAGTCCGCTTAAATTGGTCCTCTTAAGTAGGGCTCGAGTGTAGATTAGCTCAAAACCAAATAACAAGGTTTGAGCGAATCCATCCAATTTTTCTGTGACCTGATTTTTAAAAGTTAGACGTAAGATTCGTAATCACCGACCCCAAAAATCCCCGAGTAATAAGTTTCAAGCAAATCTGATAATTTTTAAAAAAATTTTGGTCGCCATATTGGATCCACCATTTTGAATTTTGAACATTTTTAAAATATGACTTTAGATTCGTAATGAGCGACTCCAAAAACCCCCGAGTAACAGGTTTCAAGCAAATCTGATTAATTTAAAAAAAATTTGGTCGACATATTGGATCCGCCATTTTGAATTTTGAAAATTTTTAAAATTTGACTTTAGATTCGTAATCAGCGACCCCAAAAACCCCCGAGTTACAAGTTTCAAGCAAATCTGATAATTTTTGAAAAATTTTGGTCTCCATATTGGATCCGCCATTTTGAATTTTTAAAATCTGACTTTATATTCGTAATCAGCGACCCCAAAAACCCCCGAGTAGCAAGTTTCAAGCGAATCTGATCAAATTTTAATAAAAATGGCCGCCATATTGGGTCAGCCATCTTGAATTTTGAAAATTTTTAAAATCTGACTTCAGATTCGTAATCAGCGACCCCAAAAACATAAGAGTGACCCATTATCCAACAAGTTGCAATTATTTTCTCAAGGTAATTAATACATTTGTTTGCTGAGTTAGTAAAAAAATTTGCAAAACATGGTACAGTAAGGACGCCATTTTGAATTTTTTAATTCGCCACTTTTTATTCGAAGCAGTATGAGCTGACGATTATTTTGAGCCGTTATAAGTTGATTTTCGTTGATTAGAATTTTGGATGGAGCTCTGGGCCGGTTGACGTGAAACGTCCCATATATGGGGGATCTCGGGTGAAGTGATCAAAGTAAAAAAAAATTTTGTCTCAATTTCGCTCAAACTGGAGTAATTTGTACTTCTATTGGGTGGTAATTTATCGTAAAAAAATTTTTCAATTTGGACCAATATTTACTCGGGGGGAGGGGGTTGAAGTTTATGGATAGCGTTTTCTTTAATAATTTTTTTTTCTTGAGTATCAAAAAAAAAAATTTTTATCAACATCAGTTTCGATAGCTTTTTTAATGCTCTTTCGATTGAGGACATGCATTTTTGAAAAAAAAAATTTTTGAACCAAAAAAAATTAATTTCAAAATTTTTTTTGACTTTTTCGGGGTAAAAGGTACGATTTTTTTTTTTTTTTTTTTTTTAAAGGAAAGCTGAGATTTTTTCCTGTAGGGACATGTACTTGAAAAAATGGGACAAGAAAGATTAAACCTTGAAAATTAACATTTTTTATTCACTTTAGCGCTGCGATCTACCACGTGACACATTAGTAGTATGGTATTTGGAGAGAAACATTAATGCTCTCTGCATTTTACAGGGTTGAAATTGTTATTGAGTAAATACCTGTATTTCATCAACGTTTAAATTTGGATAATAATAAATGAATAATAATTATATAAAGTGGAATCTTGGAAATTATAAAATCGGTTCAAAAATAAATGTAGCATACTAATAAGAGTTTACTTTATTATAGTAATCAGTCTTATCAAATAAATACTCATTTATATCAATTCATCATTCATTTGGTTATTAATTTATCCATTTATTCGAATATTTGACTGCAATGAGTCTTTATTTGACTAAGAAA